CCAGTTTCATAACTTGAACAATTATTATAAAATAATTATTCAGAGAAAATCATAATATAATATTGTTGGTTACCAATTCAAAAACTAGTTTAAAGAAGTGATAGACAATTATGTTCTATTTTCATAAAATAAATAAGACTGTCTATCATATTATTTATTCATACTATTAAATTTATTTATTGCTAAATATTATAAAAATTTGCAGACTTTTCATTCTTGTATACATGTCAGCTAGAACTTTTAGAACACAGTCGGATGTCATCATTGTTACATGTAAATATCTCCTTGGTGATTGATGCCAAGCTCAACTCCTTACTCATTTTCTTCTTTTTTCCTACGCGTGAAAATCATTACATGTTATGTATACACATAGTGAGGCAATTATATACATATTCAAATAATGCAATATATAAATATAAATGAGTAATAATATTCATTGCAATGTGATCACTTTACCTATATTCTAACCATGTTACCATAATTTAACATGATATAACAGAATATAAAATTTCTTACCAATATACTTGCCATTTATCTTATAAGCTCGTAAGCTTATTTGCTTGTATATCATTTATTATCCAATAAACCATAGCCCAATTTAAATCCCGAGGACCCTGGGTACACGAGTCAAATACATGCACCGTAGTGCTAACCCGAGTATGACACATATGGTCGTTCCCACCATCTACACTAGCTATACTTTAGTGCAGTCCCGAATATGACACATATACCCACCATATGCACTAGTTATACTTTAGTGCAATCCCAAATATGACACATAAGGTCGTGCCCATCATATGCACTAGTTATACTTTAATGCAATCCCGAATATGCAGCATGCTGCTGGACTCTATGGTATGACAACTATACTCTATCCCTTAATGACTTACTTGGGCATATAGTTTATTTTCATTCCTTCCATGGCAATATATATTAATATATTTTAACCTTAGGCAATTCATACTTAAAATAACATTCGCAATAAACATCATATATGTTCATGATAAACATCATATATAATAAAAAGTGATCAATGAATTTTAATTCAACCTTTGACATATTTAGAATATGTCAAATATGTGATAAATGACATAAATATCATGACAATATAAACAAGGTAGACTTATCGCAAGTCCTACCCAATGATGTATAAAACATCCATGTACAATATTATGCATTCATTGCAATCATTTTGACATTATATACAAGTCAAAATATAAGTCTCACTAAGCTTTAACTTGATCTTTTCTAATTCGGTTAAATCCCTAAATTGATCATAATTTCATACCCTGGCAGTCTGTACTACCTTTAAAAGAAATATTATTCTATATTAATATACACCTTTAAAAATTATTCCTTTTATACAAATGGAGACTAGAATCAAATACAAATCTATCCATATAAGGTATTTCTTCTAATTCAATTTGTACAATTTATGGTAAATTTTCAAAATTGACTGATAGAATCTGTTTTGAGCAGAATATGCTGCCCTGTTTTCTGACCTATCATCGGTTAAAAATTCATATCTTTTTGTATATACAATCAGTTTTTGTTTATTCTAAACAAAACTAGACTGATATAATAATCCAACAGTATAAAAATAATTCTATAATCATTTTTTTATAATTTATGGTAATTTTCTAAACTTACTATCCAGAACATCAATTCTAAGCAGGTTTCAGCAATTTGCATTTTCAACTTGTTCACTAATTCTATTAGCTAACCAAATGCACATATATGCATGTATCACAAATCACATAAATTTTTATAACTCACTTCCTACCATAGTAACTCCGTCACTGGCTCATCGCAAGCCAATGTTTGTTTGATAATATAAGTACAAATTAAATTTGCACTCACCTGGTGTCCTTAGCTTGCAAACTTCCTTAGAATTTCCCATTTCACCCTTAAACTTCTCTTTAGCTTTAATATTATTTGGCCTTGATTTCAAGCACTCAATCTAAATGAACATCATTACCAAACATATACAAATTCAAACCAAATGTTAGAATCTTACTAACATGTGCATACTTTGGAAAATAAATTCCTAACACATTTTCCGATGCTTATTCGATATAATTTCCATGTCACAACACAAATTTTAACCTTAATACTTCTAATATACCACTCAAATTCCTTTTTATCCCAACTTCACATAACATTTTCACTTAAGCTCCCAACCTTTCCATATTTGTGATTTAAACCTCAACTTTTACAAGATTTCTAAAATAATCCAATTTCACATCCAAACTTCAATTTCAACACTCAAACATTAATTTCCAGTATAGTAAATCAACTATTAAACAACTACAAAACAATCCATAACTTTTTCATTATAATTGATTAGGTCCCCCAACTTTTCAAAAATTACAAAATGATCCCCAAATTTTTATAAGGCTTGTAAATACTTCCTACATCATTTCCAGAACTTCCATAATTTTTCTCATCCATTTAAGCCATGGTCAAATGTTTCAAAGTTCCTAGACTAGGTTTTCATGATTTTGCTCGATTTTGATTCGATTCAAGCATGAAATCAACTTTGATTCAACCTTATAAAATCTCTACAATCAAATCCATAATCAAATTTCATCAAAACACAAAGTTCTCCTAACTTAGGGTTTGGCCGAAACTTAAGAAAGCATTTATAGGAGGATTAAACATGTTTTAATCATCAAACAAGCTTCGAAATGATTCTACAACCTCAAAAATCAAGATTCATCATCAATTCCATAAACCATAATGTGAACATAAACCCTAGAATTTGGGATATTTGAACACGAAGCAAATTAGCAAGCAATAAAGGTACTAAATGATAGCGTTTTTCGAATAGAACAATTTTCTATTTCACGTCAAAACCCAAAATCCAAAGGAAATTGATCAAAAATGAAAAAGAAAGTTTTTGTAACCTCCAAGTATGCTACACAACCATGGGAGCTGAAAATGGCAAAGTTTTCATGAAATTTCTAGTGAATTTCATGTTATTTACCTTATATTAAGCTTAAATGAATATTTAAATGAATAAAATATTCATTTAATGAGAAATGTCCATTTTGCCATGAATGAAACTTGATATTTACCTTAATATCAAGCCACATAAACCTTATCAACTTCCAAAGTCAAAGATGAACAAAATATTTTGCCCTTTACAACTTTGCTCATACCATTTTCCAAAAATTTCAATCTTGTCATTTTTCATCCAATGGTCCAAATTGAACATGAAAATAAATTCACAATTCCAATGCTCCATATTATTTTCCATCATTTTAAAATATAGAAATAATATTTCTAAGCTTAATATATCATCCTTCAAATTTTCCCAAAATTTCTATTCGATCCGATTTATTGAATTCTTATCGAACTTTATCGCTTTATAGCTTTTAATACAAAATTCGTTCGAAAAATCTGATTCCCACAGAAATGCCATTGTTTGGATTAAACTATTCATTTACGGGGAGGATTACATTACTTATTAAAATTACACTTTAGTCCCTAAACTTTTCTAAAGTTTATATTTTAGCTACTAAACTTTCAAATTTTACATTTTCGTCACTAACCAAAATTTTGGGGTATTATAATCAGATTGATCCGAGACTTCCTGAAAGAGGCATTTGACAGGTAGAAGCCTTATGCTGACCAGAGAAGGAAAGACATCTAGTTTGAGGTTGGAGATCAAGTCTTATTAAATGTATCTCCATGAAAAAAAGTGTTGAGATTTGGGCGCAAAGGTAAATTGAGTCCGAGATTTATTGGGACATTGTATCCTGAAGAGAGTAGGACCTGTCTCATATCAACTTGACTTGCCTTCCCAGCTCAGTCGTATTCATGATGTATTTTACGTGTCCATGTTTAGGCTCTATCTTCCAAACACTAGCCACATTATTCGGTGGGAAGATAAAGGATCGCCTTGGTGCAGTTTATTAAGATGTCATAATTTGGTTTATCTTTTGATTCCAGCTAACATATCATAGGGCTTAAAATTGTCTTCATTTGTCCCGGTCAACACAATTGCACAAGTAAATATTATCTAAGATCTGTTCATTTTTTGTGATTTCTCCTCTTTTTTTTATCTTTTTAAAAAAATTTAAGAGTTTGATTATGTATAGATTTCGATTTCTGGGATCATTATTTTTCTAAAGAATATTAATACGAAAATTTTATTATAATAATTTAAGTTTTTTTTTAAAAATAAATTCTAAAAAAGATTAGTAGAACAAAGCATTTTATTTTACATAATAGTGATCGAATTTACATTTTAGATGCCAAAAATGAGTGAACACGGATTCAACAATTGTCAACAATGACTACTGGTGACCAACAACAAAACCAATGACAGAGGACTTTATTCAAATTCAGAGATTAAATTAATATTTTATCTAAAATTTAAAATTTAAAAATAATATTTTATATAAAATTTAAAGGTCAAACTAGTAATTTACTTTAAATTTAAGAATCAAATTAAAATTAATCATTTTTACTAACATATAATGTCATCAAACCAAAATTTGTTATTCAATAAATTATATTAACGAAAATAACTAAACCATTACTTTTTTTATAAATTCTAAATATAATCCTAATTGGGAGAAGTAAATTAGGACTCTAGGGGGGAAATAATATTTCTGGTGAATCTAAAACCATAATCTAAAAAAATACGAGGAAATAAATATAAACCTGATCAGCCGACCAAATAATATACCTGCTCAATCCATTACTTCTTTTGATTAATAAGCAAAAGTGGAAAAGAATGAAACGACCATCATAGTACTTTAGCATATAAATTATGTTTATATATATAAAAAAACTATTTTGTGCCGTGTGCTTTAACTTTCGTGGTCCGTCCAACATTGTTGCGTCTAATTTCAAATTAGCGAAGATTTTTTAATCAAAATAGCAGGCTTTTGAATGAAAATAGCCATTTTGGTGTTGCTTCTACAAAATAAAACGTAGATTTAAATTGGGAGTGGCCTTTTTTTTTCCTTCGGCGTATCAATAATCAATAAGGCATTCATAAAAGGACTAGATCTCACAAAATGGGCCTACCACAATTGAGTTTAAAATGTCCCAACAAAAATCTGCTAACCCTTCTTTTTTACTTTGCATGAAACAGGACTTTGCAAAGGAATCGATATTATTGTTGAATCAACTCAGGCAGATTTAAGCTTGGCAGATGTAGCAGCCAAATAGGAAAGGATTCTATGGCCAACAGACGCAAGGAAAACTCCCAACAAACCAAGAAGTTTCAACGTTTGGAACAGATCCAACTGCATCCATAATTATGATGCATATAAGTTACTGGTAGAATAATAAATAACTACAAAAGAAATGACAATTGACTTTGCTCAGATTGTTTAAATGTTTAATAATCAGAGGAACTAACCTTCAACCAGAAAAACACATAGAGGAACAGAACTGCTCCGATGCCGACATGGAAGAAAATGGCAAATGTGGCAGCTATGGTATCCATAGGAAAGATCTTCAAATTCACCCCCAATCGTGATAGCTAACCAAGTAACCATCAAAATGTCCAAATAATTGCATTAGCACATCATTGAAGTAACTTATATATGCACACATGCATCAACTGTAATCATACAATTCAAACTGGAAACCCTCTACCCCTTAACAGCAAGACCTAAATTGAAACACGACTTAACCTATTGAGATATCACCTAATAAGCTCCAAGGATGCTAATAAAACAAAAGGCAGAAATAAACAAAGGATCTCAATAAGACCCAAAACCTTTTTTTGATAAAATAATGCCTCATGAAAACCCCCTTCATATCCTACATGTTTATAATCATAACATGAAGGACATAGGAAGGAGGAAAAGAGTGCCTCTAACTTTTATTAATGAGAAAAATAATACACCTCCACACCTACATGACTAACTACTAACAACATAACCTTTAAACCATAACTCAGAATACATAACACACCCTAATAACTCCCTTAAAAAGAACAACCAAGGTAGAACACCTTTAACCAGTACACAAACCCAAAAATCAACCTATACCAGCTTTTGCTAATTCATCCGCGTCCCAATTTACGGCTCTCGAAATATGCCTTGTGATAATACCCTTCCTTTCCACACGAGTAGCTATATCCCTCACCAAGGATTTAAACAAAGTAGTACTAAGGTCCGGATTTTTAATCCACTTTAGAGCATTAGTAGAATCCGATTCCAAAATAATCCTCTGACTTGGAATGTAACCACCTTCCTCGATAAGAATCAACCCTCTTTTGATCGCCAAAAGCTCTACAAGTAAAGGAGGACCTCCCCCTACCTTCTCTGAAAACGACCCAAGCAACGAACCACTGCCATCCCTAATCAATCTACCTATTCCACCCTTATCCCAACCTTTGATCATTGCACCATCTACATTTACTTTTAAGAACCCTTCCGGAGGAGGACTCCATCTAGAAGCAGGAGGAGACCTCTTTTTCAGATTACCATTCAAGTCTGCTAGTTTTAAATCCCCCATCAAGGAATCGAAAGGAATATGAACATCCTTAAATGAAGTTCCAAACCAAGAAACAATTTTGAATCTTGTAAGAAGAACAACAACGCAGAATCAACCTTCCCTTGCTGAAAAATTACCTCATTCCTATATTTCCAAACCGACCACAACACAGCCCTAGGGATAAACTTCCATATGAGAGATCTCGGAACTAGCTCATCCCACGCAATTAAGAAATCCATCAACTTAGCCAGAACCACAAAGCAAACATTCCAGTACTTTAAAAATTTTGCCCACAAATCCCACACCACATCACAGTGCAGAAACAAATGTGAGACCGACTCATTGCACTTCTTGCACAATGGGCACACAGTGTCTTCAACCCCAATAACTCCTCTCTTCAGCAGTTCCTCCTTCACCGCTACTCTATGATGAGAAAGTTGCCAAACAAAGGTTTCCACTCGTGGTGGAAGTACCCCTTTCCAAACATATCTTTCCCAATTACCTTCTATTTCATCATTACCCTCTCTATCAAAATACAATTGCATGCATGATTTTGCTGTAAAACAGCCCTCACCAGTTCCCAACCAAATCCAACAATCATCCTCTACTAATGACAATGAAGAACTGTTCAAGAAGAGATAAGCTGCAGCCACTGCTCAACCTCCCAATCCACCAAATTCCTTCTTGTTTGAATATCCCAGACCCCACCCGAATCATTATACAATCTGAATTCTGCAACCTTCCCCCTTTGTTATTCGAAAGAGCAAATAACCTTGGAAACCTATCTTTCAGAGGAACCGTACCCAACCATACATCATGCCAAAACTGCATTGTTTCTCCATTTCCAACTCTAACACAACTTTTTCCTAAAACAATCCCCAAATGCATCACTTGAAAAGAAGTTATGAACAACTCCTCTCCAAATCCAAGAAGTACGTGTTGTCCATGTATTCCAGATCATCATTGAATATGGATCCATATTGTTTACACAACAGACCACTATTTTCCACCAAGAGGTTTTTTCTGCATTAAATTTCCACACCTATTTCCCCATAAGAGCCCTGTTTAATAGCAACAGATTCGGAATCCCTAAACCCTCCAACTTCTTTGGCTTACACACCAATTCCCATTTGACCCAATGGATGTTCTTTTTTCTGTCGATCCCCCCATAGAAAAGAAGCCATGATAGAATTTAATTTGTTAAGAACACTAATAGGGATCCGAAAAATATAAAGGTAATAAATAGGAAGAGAGCACAACACTGATTTGACCAAAACTGCCTTCCAGCCAATGATAAATACTTGGCCTTCCAACCAGCCAAATTGTTATAAATTTTTTGTACAACCGGTTCCCACATGGAAAAAGAATTCCTCTTGGCCCCTAACGGTAGACCTAAGTACTCCGATGAAAAAGCTCCTCTTTCACAACCTATTTCCTTGGCCCAAGAAGCTAACTCCTCCCCCACATTAATTCCGAAAATTCTGCTCTAGTCAGATTCAACTTCAGCCCCCACCAACAGTTCATAAATTAAAAGCACCCTTCTAATATTCACCAAATCATGCGTAGAAGCCTTGCTAAAAATTATTAAGTCATCCGCAAATTGCAAATGTGATAACATGAAAGAACGATCCTTAGAGCCTAATTCAAAACCCGAAAACATCCCTTTGTCCACTGCTTTCACCAACATTAAATGTAACAATTCACCTCCCAAATTGAACAACATAGGAGATAACGAACATCTCTGTCTTAATCCTCTAGTAGTGTGTATTTTCTCTGTAGGTGTGCCATTTACCAAAACCAAAATGGAAGCTGTTGAGACACACTTGTACATCCAAGAACTCCATCTAGCTCCAAACCCCATTTTACTCATTATTTTCAGCAAGATCCTCCAATCAACCGAATCATAGGCTCTCTTGAAATCCACCTTAAAAACAAGTCCCTTCAATCCTTTTTTCCTCCAACAATCAATGCCTTCATTTGCTATAAACGTGCAATCCAAAATGTGTCTCCCCGGTATAAATGCAAATTGTGATGGACTAATAACTTCATTAATACACAAGCTTAACCTTCTCGCTAGTACTTTTGAAAGAATTTTTTAGAAACCCCCAACTAGGCTAATTGGCCTAAATTCTTCTAACCCCTCCGGATTGGCCCTCTTAGGAATAAGAGAGAGGAAAGAGTGGTTGGTTTCCATGTCCTAGTCCTTACCCTCATGAAATTCCTTAAAAAACAGCAGCAGAACTTCCTTCAAACTTGACCAGAACTTCTTGAAAAAACCTAAATTCAGTTCATCAGTGCCATGCGCTTTGTTACTATCCGAATTAGCAATTACACCCCAAATTTCCTCTTCAGAAAAAGGCATCTCAAGGGTCATACTCTGCTGTTTCGAGAGTTGTAAAAATTCCAAGTCCAGCTCCTCAACTTCCAATGTATTTTCCTGATTAAACAACCCCTTGAAAAAATGCACCACCGAAGCTTTAATTAATTTTGGATCTGAAATGTCTTCATTATCTACTTTGATGGATTTGATACCATTTCTCCTTCCTCTACCTCTTGCACATTGGTGGAAAAATCTAGTGTTCTTATCCCCATCCAAACTCCACTTCAATCTTAACTTTTGTAGCCAAATCGATTCCTCTTTTTTATACAAGTCCCACAGCTCTTTCTTTGCTTCCACTAAATTCTTCATAAACACCATGGGGAGACCTTGTTGCAAATGAAGTTCCTTCTCGTGAATTTCTTTCTCCAACCTATTTATTCTCTCGGGGATCTCTAAATAACCCTTCCTAGACCATCTCTTCACTGCTTCCTGCACTCATTTTAGTACGCTAGAGATTGATTGTCTATTCTCCACTTTACAAAGCTTGTCCAGCTCTCCCTCCATCATCTTACAAAACCCATCCTCTTCCATGACATAGTTAAATAATTTGAACGGTTTCGGGCCCCAATTCCATCCCCTATTTTCCAGCAAGATGATGTTATGATCTGAAACAGACCTTTCTAGGAGTTTTTGTGTTATCATGGGGAACAATGATAAAAAACTTTGATCCACTAGGAATCGATCTAGTCTCTCATAAGTTGGTATTTCTCTATTGTTACACCATATAAATCGACCTCCAACCAAAGGCAAATCCACTAGATTAGCTTTGCTCACAAAGTCTCTGAAAGCAAATTGCACCTCCAATCTTTTCATCCTATGACATAACAACGTTGAAGTCCCCTCTGAGACAGATTGGACAGTCTACATTCTCCAAAAATAAAAGCAACTCCCCAAAGAATGCCTCCTTTTCTGAATCCACACTCGGACCGTACACATTTTTGAACCAGCAAGACCCTAGTAACTCATCAATAATACCCTTAACTGCTACAAATCTCCTATGAATGATCTCCTCTTGAACCTGACACTCTTTTTCATTCCATAAAGTAATCAGACCTCCAGCAGAACCATCAACTGCTGAAACTGCCGAAGCTGTCAACAAATTTCCTCCCATTTTCCTCACTACTGATTGATTCAACACTTCCATTTTCAATTCCTGAATGAATAAAATAAAAGGCTTTCTCTCCTCCACAGCCCTCCTAACAGCTCTAGCTTTATCCTCCTACCCAAACCCCTAATATTCCAAGACAGTAAATTCCAACTAGTCGTCAATATCCAGCTATAACCTTGAATTCCAGCACCCCTTAATTTCCCCCATGTACTTCTCTCTCCTTCACCAATGGAATTTTTTGTTCATAAAAGCTTCTTTCCCCCCTCTAAATGTAACCCCTAACAATTCACTTACGTTCCAGCACTCCAAAGCCTCTGCCCCATCCACCTCCTCATTATTATAAGCATACTCCGAACTTGTACCAATACAGCTCCTTGTTTCTAAGTCATATCAAGTAGTATTAAATAACTTGATCATAACTCCCCCCCCAAAAAAAACAACCATAAGAGAGAGGCATGCAATTGACTCATTCACATAAATTCATGAGTTATTCAAATTACACTGATCATGTCCAGAAAAAACATTGATTTAAACCCAAAATTAAAATTTTCAAACAAATTTAGGGTTAACACCTGCTTGAGTTTCTAATCAAAACCCAAGAAAATGTCAAACACTTGTAAGTTACCTTCTGCTGATTGAATGAAAATATAAAAGTAGTGCATGCAAGACTAACCCCAATCAAGAATCCAAGTAATGGTAAGCAGGTAAGACCCAGGAACGCAAGAGAAAGCTCCTTCTTAGGACGCTTTTCGGAAGCCCTGAAGATGTGTGTTATCTCTGCTTTGGGCCCATATCTTGAGTAGGGATCAACAGGTTGTGGAGGAGGGCGGGGTGCCTTCTCAGGTGGTTCTGGTACATCTAACTCAATATGCCCAATAGCTCGTAATAAAGAGTTCTCCTGAAAAAAGGGCAAAAGATATTATTATAACATAATTGTGGAATCATACAAATTGAGAGTTTTATAAAGAAAAAGCAACACTTACCATAACAACGTCACCAACAGTGAGCTCAATGTCATATCTACCTGAGAGATAGAAGAATTTCTCAACCAACCCAAGAAAATTCTACAAGACAAGCCAAGGTAAGATTATTATAAAAAAACATAAACAGAATATTTTTCATCTGAATACTATAGTGTCAAATTTTAAATAGGTGTAGCATAAGCTTAGCTGGTTGAAGAATACTCTATGATAATAATACAAGGCAACAGATGCGTTGCTTTCTCAATGAAATAAAGAAATCTCTAATTGTTATAGATACTAATAATAACTTAATCTGTCATACACCCCAAAATGATATTTAACTATGAAAGACATCGCCTTTCCTTAAAAAGACTATGAAATAAATGATACTTAACTAGAACTATTTCAAACTGTTCTCCAGAGTTTCCAACCACAAAGATGTGCTCAACCTTACTTTCATGTCTCAACTTGAGTAATGCCTGCAAACCACAAAACTAAATCATAAACTACTGAAAATAATACCATTGATTAAAAAATGAAGATGCAAACCTGATGTGGCTTAAAAGCAAGTCCATGAGGAGTTGTCAACTTAAAGGATACGCGTAGCTTTTGGAGATGGTTTGCTGATAATGATACAGCACTTTGTCCAGCTAAATCTAGCCTATAATATATGGTGCAAGACCATGAAAAAGTAACTTCAGAGATCATTTGAAAAGAAAATCAAACATACTAGAGGGTGTTTATAAAAGAGTCATCAGGTGTTATTGCATCAGTACCCAAGACAATTATCAATTATTAGTACAAAAATTCAGCAAAAGAAACAGAACATACTTTTTCTGTGTTTCTATCCTCCCAAGATCACTGTCAAGTATAGCGATTTCTGCATTTTCAATTTTGATAAGTCCTGAGACAAATATTGGTACTTTCTTTGGGCCTCCGGTGACATAAACCTTTTCATCCTCAGGTTTATGAAGCACAATCTACAAAAATTCAATTTCACATGTAAGGAAAAACAGAAGAACACAAAGCTTAAACTATAAATCTAAGAATCTGATTACAACAACAATACCTCAAAAACAAATGTGTAACTTCCAACATCTATACTTTTTGGCAAAATTTTCAAGTTATGTAGCCCAGTTCCAGCATCAAACACAAGTTCCTATATTTATAATATTTGTTAGACATTGAATCAAATTAAACAAAAGAAATGCAAAAGTATAACTGGCATACAGCAGAAATTATGTCCAACAAAATGAAAACGGCTTCATAAAACAACAAACCTGGCTTTCAACTAGAGATGCATCCTTTGAACCAGAAGTAAAAGCTCCCAAAAGCTTCACAGTAAGAGGTGGTGCATTTGAACCAAGCACAGTGTTAACTTTAACCTGTTATAACAAAACCCTACAAACTAAGATTAAATGAATTCAAATTTGGTACAAAAAGGCTTATGTATGCAAATGAATAAAGCAGTGAAACGCAAGTCAATGCACCACAAATATGCATCACGTGGAAAAAAATATTTTTTTTGATAAATGTTTTTTAGAAAGGTCCACAGTTGTCCGCATACACTACAACATATAAGGCACTCAGGATCTAAAAACTACTGTAAAATATCCAAGCAAAATAGAATGCCACTAATATTAATATCATCAATCTTTGGGTGGTAGGTTTCTGCCACTTTAGAACTTAAGCATTCATGTCAAGGATTTTAACTTTGGACAAACCTGGAGTGAGTCCTTTTTGGTCAACGAAAGCACTGTAGATGGAAGTGATAGGATCAGTGGGATGGAAACCCTGCATGGCATGTGTGAAATTTAAGATCTATTAAGCTCCAGAGCTTCAGTACAAAAATCTAAGAAAAAGGTTACCATAACACCGTCGTAAACAGCTACTGAAATTATGCATAAAAGGTCTAAAAAATATAATAGCATTATCAAATTTTATATTAAATAAATATAAATACATTAAAAGTGCCAAAGGAAGATCTTGCCTGTTGCTTTCCAGACAAGCTAAGGAATCTATTTGGTTGAATAAATCTTTGGCATCACCAGGAACTCCGATACCAAGGAAAAAGTTAGCCAATCCAAGTGTCTTGTTTCCTGGAAGCTGAAAAAAATAAACCAGAAGGATTACAACACACCCAAAAAAAAAGAGGAAAGAGAAGATGAAGAAAGAGGCTAAAAGTGCATGATGAGTGAACTTTCCCAGCAGATGTTAAGACTTCCATCACTCACCGCTGCAAATGCTGTTAGTCCTCTAACAACAGACGAGGTGGTTGCTAAGGGACCTTGATGGTCATGTCCATCAACAAGTTTATCATCAAAGTAAATAGCCTCACCATCTAACAAAAAAAAATAAAAGGATGAAAAAATTAATTGAGTAAGAAATTGGCTGAAATATTCTTTTTTTATTGATAAATGATGAATGGAAGAAAGAGAAAATTGAACCCATAAAAAATAACATAAAAGGAATTTGAAAAAAAAGGAGAAACTATACATACCATATTTCTCAATACTGTCAAAAAGCTTGCTTATATCATTATTGAGAGTACTGATCTGCCAACAATAACTCAACATGTAAAATGGAATGCACAAACTAACAATGACAGATAAACACCAAAAATAATAAAAGCAAAACATGCTCACTTGAGCAGAAACAATTCAATATCAAAGGACACCATCATATATGACTAATTGAAGTAATGAAATGAAAACATTTAAAACTTAATAGAAACACAGATTGTTTTAAGCTCACTTGATGTGTCTTGTACTCGTTTGTTATTCATGAATTTCAAACAACCCTCTTCAGCTTAATATGGTTTATGAATTTAACAGGCAGTCTAGAGAGTTTTAAGGAAGTACTCATAGCTAGGGTTGTAAATGAGTCGAGACAGATCGCGAGCTACTCGAGATCGACTCGATCAAGGCTCGATAAATGCTCGGATCGAATGGACTCGACTCGAGTTCTTAACGAGCCGAAACGAGCTACTCGATATTCGACTCGAAAAGCTCGTGAGCAGCTCGAAAAAATGTTATATTATAATTTTAGATATTTTAAAATATTATAAAAATTTTATTAAAAATACATTATTGATAATTATAAAATTTTAAAAATATATTAAAAATTCTATAATACAACTACCCACAATTTTTAATTTTTTTAATTAAGCAACCCAAGTCCAATTGTTACATTGTATATTACTAAAAGAAAAATAAAACACATTTAATTAAGCACATGTTAGATTACATCCTAAACCCTAAACCCAACCCTAAACTATAAACCCTAAACTATAAATCATAAACCCTAATCACTAAATCTAAACCCTAAACTCTAAACCCTTAATCCGATTATGTGATAGGGTATTAAAAGAAAATTAAAAGCCCATTTATTTAAGCACATGTTAGATTACACCCTAAACCCTAAACTCTAAAATCTAAACTATAAACTATAAACCATAAATCCTAAATCTCAAACCCTAAACCTTAAGCCCTAAACCCTAAACCCGATTATATGATAGGGGTTAAGTTATGCACATGAAAGTAACATACAAATTATGCAAAATGAAATTAATGAAATTAACAAGGGTTTATATGTAAATAAACTAATAAATCACACTTGGTCAAATCATCAATAGGTTCATTATCAAAACAAACGGTGATCAAAACATAAAATAAAAATAAATTAACCCAAATCATAAAAACGTAAACCTTGATTAATGACGAAATCAGAAGATTACAAATATAACAGGTCCTAAAATGCTAATACTCCATTTCTAAAACACGGGCTTGAATACCTGTCAACTGTCCACGTTTCTTTGGTTTTCTTTTTCTCTCTTCAACTCTCTATTTTGTGTATTCTCAAGCTTTCTGCAACAAACATGGGGGCTCTCGAGTCTCGATTATATTTCAAACTTTTGTATTGTCTCCGAAAGGAGGAGTAAACGCAAGCCAATGCAGGTAACTTTCTTCTTCTTCTTCTTATTTGAATAAAAAATTCAAGAAATCACCTGCAAAACTCCATTTCCTAGCTATGTCAATGATATTGTGGTTGCAAGGTGAAAAGGCCTCGATGAAGATGGAAGCAAGCCAATACAAGAGAATGGCAGAAGAAAAGATAAGCATACAGAGGAATCTCTTGCGATTTTCGAAGAGCTGATGTATCAGAAAGAAATGGAAATTTCTGCTCTTGAGTTCCAAATTGAGGCTTATAAGTACAAACTTCTAAGTTTGGGGTGTGATGAATTGGATGACATTGAGAAAAATTTTCCGGAGAATCGATTTGCAAAACGAAATGATGCAACACAAGGAGAAAGAGAGATTTATTCCACTATTAGAAGACTCAGCTCCCTGCCGTCACTTCTATCGACGGATTTCTCTAAAGTAAAGAGTACTAGCGATGGAGAAAAGCATGCAAATCCAATGCTAGAATCGAGTTCAAGCATAGATGCTAGAAATCTTGGCTCAGTAGTCCGCGATCATGGCTTTGATTCAAGGAGAAGTTCACCAATCTCAGCGGAGTTCAATTCTTACTGGGAACAGATCAGAATTCTAGAGGAGAAGGTGAAAGAGATTTCAGATTGTAAAGAAGTTAGTACAAAGAAAAAATAAAGGTAAAATCGGAGTCCCAATGTACCAGTCCAAGAGCAAAACTTCCCCCTAAATGTTAAAAACTAAAAACTTCTGAAGATCCATCAGAGAAAGTCACTCCAAGTTCTGCCAATTTTGCTAAATCTGTTCATGATGTATTTGAAGTACATTGCACATTCGAAGTTCCAGAAAGCAGTGAAAGAAAAAAACGTAATGAGCAAAAGAATAAAGGGAAGTTATATGTTGAAGAAGATAATAGGCTTAAGAAGCCAGATTTGTTCATGATTGGATCACCTCTAGATGATGATAGCGATTGGTCCGTCAAGGATGACTTTCAAAGTGTAAAGCCAGGGAAATAAGGATATAAACTAAGAGATAAGATGAATCCCGACTATGAATCGTCTGCTGAATATGATACTGAATGGATAAAGATGACTAACTTGCTAAGTTCAAACAAGGGGAAAAGATCATGTAAATTGGGTGATGAGCCGAGTGATGACTACAAATCAGCTGCTAAATATGATACCGAACAGGGTGTTGAAGAGGGTGAAGAGCACGGGGAAGAGGGCGGAGTTCTAGTCGTATATCCCACTCACAGCATGTGGCCTTATATCCCACATCTTTAAGATAGAAGCAAGTGCTCCACAAGTGATCCTATAAATTAAAGCCCAAACTCAATGGTTTAATATGCGGAGCCGCGCGGTGAGCACTTGAGCTTGAATCGAGCTCGAGTTTCGAGCTTCAGTCGAGCTCTTGAATTTTTTTTTAGTTTGAGCTTTTTCGAGTTCGAGTCGAGTTTCAATATTATTTTCGAGTTCGAGTCGAGTTTGAAAATTTTAGGCTCGCGAGTTTTCGAGTCGAGCTTAGATTTATAGTTTTCGAGTCGAGCTCGGCAATTCCGAGCTCGACTCGGCTCGTTTACACCCCTACTCATAGCTGCATAGAAAGGTAGCTCAATGCTTACTAGAAGGAAAATCCATTTTTCCTTAGAAGAGTTCACAAAGCCCTCATTGTTACCAGAGGTATAACCCACAGTCCACTTCTTTTTTACAACAAGAAAATTCAATGATAACATCCAAAATAATTGAATATCTGGGTAATAATCCTTATATTGCCTTAAAGAAACATTGATTAAGATCCACCACATCTATAAGCTAGATATCACACATGTATTAAGAGCAAAAAGTAATCAAAGCAGAAATTGCAAAACCTATATAGCTAAACCCAAGCAGTTCACTACAAAAAAAAAAAACACATGAAGTTTAACAAGAGAACATCTTATCATACATTTTGAGCTGATTAACAATTCAGATTCATAAACTGGTCAAAACTTCACCAAATCAAAGCAAGCAACATTTACTACTTACCAAAGATTGGTCAAGTTCAGAAGATGCTAACGAAACAACTCCTGCAAGCGTTTCAAGTGCAATTCCTGCAAAAATATGGCGGGCCTTGACAAATAACTATCTCACAACTGAATTGAACAATTGATAAATGAAAAAAAGGTAAACAACATTTATGAAGACATTGTCTTCAAAAAAAATGCTAAATGGTGGTTGTGCAGGACATTCGGAAAATTCTAGAGAACATTTCCCAATCGCTCCTTCATTAATCAATAAATAAAGTAGAAATTTGGAAAAGCATTATAAAATTTTTGGTACTAATAATACCACAATTTCTATGGTAATAAAAAAACGTCTAAAGCTTTACAAAAGTTGCTAATGCTACACCTAAATATATATGTATAATAATTTTGGTGTTTCGTAAAGAGTCTTTGAGTATAATAATTTTGGTATTTTGTTAAAAATATGAATATACAGTCAATGACAATCAGTGATCGGTCGATTCCGATTAACAGTCGGTCAATGTTTCTAACTAGTACCAAAATAACTAATACCAAAATATTTTGCTCTACCAACATTTGTTATCCATACAAAAATATGTACTCAGATATCTAAATTTTATGGATACACCTAAATTCATAGGTTTACCAAAATACGTATAGACCAAAAGTTTTGATGTTTTTCCAAAATATGTAAACGAGACCCATAACTTTTATGGCTTTTACCAAAAAATGTACTTATCTAACGGAATTTAAAACAGTTTACCAAGATATTCATCCGAATACCCATATTTTTATGTCACACAAAAATGTTTAATGGATTACCAGAAAATGTTAGCCGAGGCACCAAAATTGTTAACTCTACACCAATTTTTTGGTCGCTCGAGATTTTGTTATTACAACGACACATGGCTGAGAAAAACATGGACCAAATTATCTAATGATATGTGCCTAGAAATTGTAGCATCATCTTACAAGGGATGGCATTAATTGAAAAAGATGGAGCATTTGGGAAGGGCTCCTTAAAGAACACACAATAGAAAACCCCAGGACGTTGTCTCGAAAAAAAATTAGAATCTAAAAAAATCTTTACCAGCAGCAAATGCACTGGACTCGGGATTATTTGAACTATAGCGCCACCTACCATCACTCTGGCTGAAAGCCTGAAAACAATTTGTAACATGAAATCAACCATTTAATAAAAACATGTCGTTGTAAAATCAGGTTATAGAAGTGGGCTGAAGTGAAAAAGCTAATATAAAAATAAGATTAGAAGTTAGAGGCAGTTCAAGAATGAGTCCTCCACAAACAAAATCTCTCCGTACCATCAACTAGTCCACAAACTAAATATAATAATAACAACAAACCTTGACCGAGTCAAAAATTCCATCAGCATTAACAAGATGAACGTCAGGTTTGGAACTCTGATCCAGCAACTGACAAACAATGTATTAGAATGTAAGGGGGGAAATAGAAACAACTAAAAAGCTAGAAGCTGGATAAATAAGGTCCCTTGACTGAAATAGTAAACAAAGCAAATTTAGTGCATGCATATATCCGCTAGAAAACACATAAGATCTATTAAATTACATGCATCGGGATAAACAGTATCATGTACTCATTTATTACCTTGATAAGCACCAAACCTCCTACTGAGTAGTGGAATTCAAGCAATGAACTTGCGCTATTGACAGCAGCATTAAGTCTTGTTATAATGCCCTTTTGCAAAGGAATAAAAACAAATTTAAGAGCCAGGATTAAAAACGAGTTCAAATATCTTCAATAATAAGTTAGTGCCAAATTGGCAAAGTATATTAAATACCTGAAAAGCTTTATCTTTTATCTTGCATTTCGCTATGCTATTTGCTTTTAAAGCGTAGAAAAGATCCTTTGGGGTTGATGATGATGACCCAACAGCTACCGAAATTAAACGGCAAGCTGTGGCGGTTACATTAGGCTTCTTTTTAATTCCAAGAACGTCAAATGTTCTTAGTGCTTCGTATGTCTCTTCTAAACTGGTGAGATCAATTACATCAAAAAAGATAGGCCTTCCTCAAACCTAATTCTCAAATATCTCTATTTATTTCCAATAAAAAAATAACTAGACTATTAAATTCCTCATCACTGAAAATGGGGAAAAATTAAACATAACTAAGTTTGAGTTTCAAAGTTATTTCTTCCCCATAATCTCCTAATTTCATTTCTTAACCAAAAAACAGTAAATGGAGAAATGTGGTTAAAAAATAAACAGGAGTTTAAGAAAACCTCTTGAATGATCCACGGTCGGGACTGAAGAGCTCAAGAGCGGCAGATCGATGAGAATCGGAGATCGGCTGAAAAAACGAAGCGGCTTCACAGATTGATAGAAAGTGTAATAGAACCATAAATCCAACTAGACTTCTGGACATTTCCTGCATTTAAAATCCAAAATTCACTCCGTCAACAGCCTCAAAAATTGAGATTCATCGACGCAAAGATTAAAACTGTTTAATAGGATCTGAAAATTAGAAATAATTTAGTATGGCAACCCCGGGTTTTCAGATCAAGAAAAACGGAAAACCTACGGAATGTGAATTCGTCGGCATTGTATTTTCCGTTTGAAGTCTTCACAGTCTTCGCTGTGTGCAAAGTGATCGAGTGAGTTAGGAGTAAGTACTCGCAAAGTGCAGTGGAAATAGAGCGAGCAGTTGGAATAAAAACATGAAATTACCCAATTGTCCAAGTGTTGAGTTGAATTTACGAGGTTTGTCCTCCGGACAGTTAGGCCTGGGCTCAACAGTTTGGATTTTTCAGTAGGGTAAGGTGTCCATGAAAATGAGGCTTGTGTCAGAACAGGCCCAAAATAAAAAATTAAAACGGCAACTTTAAACACGTACGATTAATTAAATTGAATTATTTATATTTAATTTTGTATTAGATTAAATAAATTAAATGTACATATATTTATATGTAATTTATTATTCAAACAAATTATTTGGTTTAAATTTTTAAAACAAAAAATTGTTCACCTTTCTATTGATTCGGTCTACTAACTATTTATGTATCCCAAATATAAATGTTTTCGTATCAATACTTGCGGGTGACCAACGTATTGTATGTAATTAAGTTTATGTTATATGTGAATAAATTGTTAGTAGCTTAGTTTGTATGCTTAGCTTTTTAAGCACCGAATGCCAAAATTTATGTTAATAAAGGCAAAATTTTAGACGACGCTATAATATATTAGCAATTAGTTAGTAGTCTTATTTAACTAATTTTAATAAGATTAAATATTTTTTGAAGTTAGAATTATAAGTCGTTATATGTAAAATCTGAATAAAGAAGTAATTTTATGGATGCTAAGATATATAAAGGGTTTCTTTCTTTCACTAAAAATGTTTTTTTTAATAACTTATATCTTTTTAAAAATATTTTATGGTAAGCGGATGATGTTGTGTAAACTGTTTTTCAATTAGATAAATTTCTAGAAATTATTTATTACAAAAATCAATCATTTATTTAATATTATTTATGTTAATATTATTATTAAAATATTATTTCTATACTTTTATAAATAAAAATATTATATACTATTAAAATAAAATTGTTATAAAATATATTGATTATTTATTTAAAAAATAAAATTATTATTACAATATTAAAAATTATAGTATTAAAATAAGAATATTATATATTTTGAAATTTATTAATAAATACATTTTAAGTATTTTTATTAAAATATTATTTTATGAAATTAATAAATAACATAAATTTTATTAATACATGTTACTAAAATAAAAATATAAGATCATATATTATTATAATATTAAAAATATAATACTATATTATTAAAATTATTAATAAATATATTTTACATATTTTAATAATTGATATTTTATTGAAAATAATAAAAATATTGTATTAACTTTATATACATAAAATAATATTATTTTGAGTATTTATACTTTTAAGTGAAGTTCGAAAAGTTACTTACAAAAAATAAAGTCGTAAATCATTTTCCAAAAAATGAAAAAAATACTAATTAGAGAAAATATTTTTACATTGAACAACTTGTTTTCCATCAATCAAGCACTAAGAAAATAGAAGAAAAAAAACATTTTCTAAAAATATATTTTAGATGAAATAAGTAAACCTAAAGAATACACTTGTATTGCTAACAATAAAGATAATCATCATAGTCAATGCTGAACTACAATGTATATTTTTATGCTTATATCCCTTAGTATAGCAAGGATAAGTTATTGTGTCTTTGTCAACCATTAAAGAAGAGTATAATGCAACATCAATGACAATTCAAAAGAACACTTATTGTTACAGTTGTTGAAGTTCTTAGTCACCCTATCGATCTTATGTTTAATTGAGAATCCATTTTTCATACAAGAACTAAATCAACCTATTCATGAAAGACTTAAATGTCTATAAACTTGAAAATTTTTGTCCCCAACCTACTATGACAAATAAAATGAAAGTTGATGCTGAAGGAGTGTATTAAAATATTAATACAACCTATTATTGTTTAGTTAAATTCTATGTTATATCTGAAAAGATTGTTAGTAACTTTAATTTTTGTTTAAAAACAAAAACAAAAGATACTAGGTTGATGAGAGAGCTTTCAATTTGATTTTTGTTCTTCTTATAGTGTTGTGAGATTTTGTCGGGTTGTAGATCAAGTGAGTTGATTATAAGTAAGGTTCGCTTTGATTCAAAAATTATTTGATTTGTGTATATAATAAGTTTAATATTTTTTTGTCAAATTCATACTCGTTAAAGAAATTTATTGCTTGACTTGTTTGATTCGACTCGTTGCTTGTTAAGCTCGTGCAAACTTTTTATTTTGTTTTTTTACAGAAGCAACTAATTTTATTAAAAGAAAAGAAACATACATAATTACAATGAAGATTTACAATTATAATGGTATATTAAGCTCATATTTAGTACATTTTTCTAAAATTATTGACACAAATTATCAATTTAAGATCACATGAGGATCATACAAGGAAATACTAAAAACCTAATCAAAATTCGAACAAAGATAGATACTAACAAATCTGATCGTATTGGGAAACTAATCGTACAAGGGGATCAAGATATTGAAAGGCAACTAACAAAACTGCAAATTAGAGTCGAGCGATGTGAAAACCTATCCATGAATGCAAATCAAGTATCCAAATCCAATCCAATGATCCAAAGTTGGGAATATCAACATAATAACATATAAGTGGCATACTGATCAATCGTGACAATGTCAAATCAACCTTTAAAAGAGTTAATAAAAAACAAAAACCGAAAACGTATCAAAAGACAAAGAAAAAACATGTCATAAAGGCAGACTTATTGAAAACTAAAAATAATAGAAAAATAAAGATGCAATATAAAAAGTAAAAGAACAATAAAAAGTATCAATGATCGGCGACTAATATCAAGATTGATGATGTCGTCGATCAACAAAGATGAAAACAAAAAGTTTGAATGGCACACCACAAATAAGAGAAACTATGGTAAATTTAATAATACTATATATCACTTAGTATAAGCATAAATTAATAAAAATTAATAAAAATAATAATATGTGAAACAATTTCAAAATTTATATTCTAAAGTAACAATTCATAAATACACCAAATTAATATATTATAATCATTATTGAAAGAAAAAAAAAATTAGACAATACATATTAATCTTAAAATTAAAATAAATGCTAACTTCTTAAAAATATATAAAAATTAATAAATTACGCACAAACTTATTAAATCGAGATGAATCTTATTTGATTTGATTCATAAAAGTTTCAAATCAAACTCAAATTAAAATTAAATCAATCCAAATTAAACATAAATTTAAATCAATTCAAATTAAACATTGTTTATATTTGGCTTAAATGCACATTTGTCCACTGAACTATATTATTTGTATTGAGTTGCCCTTAAAGTATTTTTCGGGACGTTTTGTCCCCTGAACTATAAACCTTAAGGTTTTGGTATTTACGCCTATTATCAATATACCGGTAGATTTTTACTATTTACATTGTTAATTAATATATTACTTTAAAGTAATAGGTTTCGAAAATTCAAGTATCGATGTTTTATATATATGTACTGATACATTTTGCGTGCAAATTATTTGAAAAGCATACTGGAATAAAACTATCCATATCTATATAAAAGTATCAATGCTTGGTATTTATGCAAGCAAATAATCAATCTCCTTTAGGTATGTTTCTCTTAGACGGTTTCGGTTCATGAGCTGGATAAAATGGATTCAATCTGGTATATTGATAATAGGCGTAAATATCATGTATCGATTCTTTTATATAGGTATGGATACTTTTATTCCAGTATGCTTCTTAAACAATTTGCACGCAAAATGTATCGATACACATATATAAAGTATCGATACTTATAATTTCGAAACCTATTACTTTAAAGTAATAGGTAAATTAACAATGTACATACGAATGAAAGAAAAGTCGAGAAAGTCACATCTTATAATGGATTATTTACAGTTCCTCATCATAATAGAATCTTTATTGTGTAAGTCACATGTTGTATTGTGGATAGGAATATTAAAATGTTTGATATACAGTTATTGTTTGATATACAATTATTGTTTGATATGTTTGAGTAGATTAAAATTGAAAATGATGCATTATGTGTATGGATAAAAAATATACACACAATATAACTAAACCAAACATACAAAACAATATTATACATAACAATCATGTCAATAAATTAAGCATGTTCTAATTGTCCACCTACAAAGAAATTAAACAGAAGAAAAAAGGTTATTTCTGACAAAGTCCGAAACATTAGGCACCTTCGCAAAATTTTCCAAATAATCGTGGATGTTTCCGCCTTTTTCTGAGGACATATATAAATAATTGAAATTAGCAAACCAAACATGTTCAATAATATAATAATAAACTAATTTTGCATAAGTGAGCATAAATTTGTGTCATACCTAAAACATTGTCGTTCAAAGATGAACCGTCAAAGGGATGTGAACATATGTACATATATTGCTATATAAATAAATAAATTGTTAATGAACAAATGTATCAACATATAGCTTAACAGAAAGAACATATAGCAAACATATAACTTACTGGATTATAAATCATTTTTTTTGTTGAATCATCCACCAACACTGTATTTCTCGGGTTGTATTCAGAATACCCATTCCAAACATCTTGTAGATCTTTATAGTAGGTTACTTCATTTTCATTTTACTTTCCTTGATCTTGTTTATAGAAATAGTCAAACATAAATTTGTAGGAATCATAAATAAATAAAAGTAAGCAACGCAAAAAACATACATCTTACCCAAATGAATATAAACTGGTAAGACAATAAAAGTAGTTTGTCAAGTGCACGATCAATGTTATGCCTGAAATTGCTAACAATTGCCACGAGAAACATCTAATTGTAAATTATCCATTTATCTATAGTAATTCAATATCTTAATTGTGTTACCTCAACTTCAAAGACCAAATGACAACAACAAAGTTTTCTAAACAAAAATGAAGAAATTCATATACTCCTGGTCTCAATATAACATCTACAACATGAACAAAATTACATTAAAATAGTACGTTTATATGTTAAAATAATGTATAGAAATGAAACAATTTTAAAAC